TTTAGAAAGATGTCCTGAAATATACAAGTTTTAATAATTTAAGAATGACCAAAACCGTTAAAGAAAAGATAAAGTTATTGGCTAACTACAATAAAACGAATTAATAATTTATTTGTTTTTGATTTTTCTATATATTTTTTGTAAGTGTTTCAATATATTTTATCGCAAAAACAAACAAGTATTATGAATAAAATAGTCATAAAATATAATAATTATTATAACTATATTGCGACAAAAATTGAATTATTTGGGTGTGAAAGAAAATTATCACCAAAAATCAAATGAACTATAGGACACTACAGTGTTTATTGTTTTGGTTGACAACTCTATAAAATACTTTACATTGTATAATATCAAAATAAACTTTGTCATATGTGTACAAAACAATCCAATTTAAATTATTTAAATTGGATTTTTTTTGATTAATATTTCTGAATAAATAAATAAATATTATTTCAAATATTTGAATTATAATATAAAAAAGTGATAATATATATGGGTTTATTTCAAAATGTGTTTATTTAAAACAATAATAACAAACATAAATTATTTTTATTATTGCGATAAAAAATTAATTTAATTCATTTGTCTGTCATTTGAATAACAATTAAATAAAAATAATACATTATTTATTGAATCATTCAGTCAAAATAATAATATTCTTTTTGATAATTCGCGAAATAGTGATTTTCCATGTATTAATAATATGTTTTCAGTAATAAAATTAATAATCAAAATGAATGTCGTGCTCGTTTGTGATGATCATAGTATACAATTATGTTTTTATGATTTACCTAATATATTCATATATTTATAGTTCAAATAATATCAACCATAAATTAGTGTATTTTTTAAAATTAAAATTAATGTTTAATAAAGTTCTTATAGTTAATAATATTTGAATATCTACCAAACCCCGATTTTCTCCAAAAAGGATTTTCAGAAAAAAAACGATTTAAAAAATTAGATAAAAGTAATGATTTAAACACAAAAAAATTGAAAATGAAAAAAAGTACATTTTATATCGAGAACTCTATACTCTAATTTATATATTTGAATGAGATTTATTACAGTTATCAAGTGAAATGTGTTTTGAGTCTTGTTATTTGTCACGTCAAACAGAATTACATATTCAACAACCGTAAATTTTCTGAGTAAATATTTACAAAAATTAAGTATTGTTATAAGTAAATACAATATTTAATATTTGTAAACATTAAATATTTAATAAAGAAGTGATGGCTATTGTTGCATTAATGTAACTGGACAATAACAACAAAAAATTTACAAACATTTATATCAAGCAAATGTTCGTACATTTATTTTTACTTTGAGTGTTTGATATTCAATTAAAATAAAAATCAGGATATTTTTCGAATAAAAGAAACGAATTGGTCTATTGATCCTAAAATCATTAAATTGTTTTGGACTTAAAAACTAAAATTTGTTATTATCAAAACTATTCATAAATTGTCCATTATATTCTTTGGTAAATTATTTTTTTCTAAAGTCAAAAAATTAACAAAAAAAAACTTAATTGAAACAATCAAAGTTTATTTTTGAATTTACAATCATCAATGAATCTTAATTAATAATATTATTATGTTTGAATTAAAAATTAACTTTACATAGAGTCAGTCTGTAAACGTTGTACACCCGACTTTTCCATATTTTTTATCCTATTTTTCGGGATTTTTTTTGATTTTTCCCAAAAGTGCGTTTTTATTTTTTGCTGCTATTTTTGTTTTTATCCTAATACCCAAAAAAATTTGGAAAACAAGTAATATTCGTAAAGTGTACAACGTTTATGGACTGACTTTATTTAAAAAAATATCATTGATTCTTTTGTATTTTTTTATAAACTCGGAAAAAATTAATTCCTGTTTTACTATTGAGCATACTATCAAAATGTCTAAAAATACGTCTT